TGTTTTTTTGGGCTCAAATGAAAGAGCGGATCGAGAAATGGCGTGCTAGGGCCTCTAAAGATGGTTTTGAACCAGGGGAGACTGAATCTTATCGTTGAGTTGGGAGTTATCGGACATTGAAGAAAGGTTTTTGTTGTCGCTTTTTTAGGTGAGTTGCGAATCGCGGTGTTGGTTATGAATTTATAAGAAAGTTTTCTGTTCTCCTGAATATTAGCATAACTTATCTGAAGACTGTAATTTCGCCGGGAATATTTGATAAAAATGTCAACATAATGAAATCATAAAATTCAGGAATTACCCCTGGGGGATGAAAATTCTCGATTCTCCTTGACTCGATCGTCAGCTCCTTCTGCATTAATTTATTAATTAATGGAGAAAAAGAAGCTGATGCATGACAGTGGTGGGAGAGTGGATGCCCGCAGTGAAAGAATTTGAGTAATGGAAAATGCAGTCGAGACGTCGCGGTGGATAACGTCACCAGGGCTCTCCTTCTCACCAATGCTACGCGGGGTTGGTTCCCGTGGGATTTTGCCCTCAAGTATTGAAAACTCATTTGCATCAATTAAATTTTCAGTTGACGTCGTGTAATTGCATTCTATCCAAGTAGATGGATAAAAGGTTGAGCGTAAACAGCACGAGGAAGTTGAGGTGAAGTGCAGTTGACTCTTTTTTTATTGAAAACTTTTGCATAAGAACAAACGAGAATTTGAATAATCCATTTCATCTTTCCCTTTTGAGACAATTCGATGAAAAACTCATTTGAAATCGTGAATTTTGGTTAAATTCAGCAAAATCAGTAAAATTCATGAGAATTCAAGTGAACCTTTTCTTGAATTTAATATTGATACTCAATATTCATTTCATATTTAAAATTCAGGAAAGTGATTAAATTTTGAATTGATTTCTATCGGAAATTATTTCAATTCATTCGAATTTTGAGCTAAATCTGAAATTTCACAGGCGTTCTCCTCCAAAATTAATTTAAATTTCACTATTGACGACAAGTGTACCCATTAGAGAAATTGTTTGTTTGAGTAGAATTAAGTTCATTTTAATCAAATGAGTGGGTTTATTCAAACAGCTGGTAATGAAGCTTTTATTGAAACTTAAATTTGATTCTTCTCTAAGTTTTTATTCGCATCAAATAAATCATTTGTCGAATATAAAAATTTCTCTGAATTTCCAGGGAATTCCTTAAAAAATTCCTGGAATTCCAAAAAATTTTAAGGAAGTCCGTGACAATTCAAGAAAATTTGGTAGTAATTATTCATTTCCACTTGGAAATTCATGTAAAATATGGAATCTCCATCTTCTCACCGCTAAAAATTGACACTTTACTTAAATTTTCCGAAAAACTTGAAATTCTATTAACTTTTTCCTCTAAAGTCGAATGCAAGCTTTTTTTCCAGAAAGTCAGTCAAATTTTTTTAACAGTGTACAAATTTCAGCAGAAAAAGAATTCTCCAGTATGAAAATGAAAAAGAAATCGACTTTTTTATTCTCTCAACAATTCTCACATTTTCTCCCACATTTCCATCAATAAAATACCGATGTATACATTCCCTCCCCAATTATCCTCAATATCCCCCGAAGAATTGATGCAATTCCCCGGCATCACTCACGCAAAATTACATAGACCTGTAAAATGGCATAATGCGATATGCAAAAGGGCACCAGCACGTAAATCTCCAAAGGAACGATCAAAAATAATAACAATCCTGAATTCTCAAGGAGGCACTCGAGGCGCTAATGGCTCATCTAATTACGTTGCCAAGTGAGTACACCGACTGGCACAACCCATTGAAAAAACAGAGAGAGCTGTCACGTGCGTACACTATCATTAAACAATTGTCCGCTAAAAATTTCTCAACACGAAAAATCCCCAGACACCTGTGTTAAAGTGAAACAACTATTCAATTAAGGAATTAATTCATCTCCAAGAATGAGAATTACCCAGTGCGAGCTTATATTATTTAAATTAAAATCCCCGAACAATAAAAAATAAATGATCATGGCTCATAAACTGCCGGCATTGCGATTCTAATTAAAATGAATATCGTTCTATCGCATGCCTCGCACCGTTCAAATTAGACGACGCTGGGCTAATCACTGCCACGATGTTTTACAGTCGAGGGAGGAGCACAGTCCGAGGAGGGTCATAAGCACGAATAAAGAAACGCGAAGAAAAAAAAAATAAGACAAAATAAGTTGGGAAAAAGAACGAGAGAAAAATTAGATGTGGAGGCAAAAACGGTCTCATTCAGCCCTTGATAAAAAAAATGAGAGCACGAAATTAGTACTCGACATTGGAATAGAGCTGTTGTGGGGTGAGCATCCCCACTTTTTTTTATTCGATAATTATGTAAATGCTGGAATGATTGTCGGGCAATATGTCCTGAGAATAAAAGTAGAAGTTCAAGCAATTCGGTTATCTTTATGATTTGAGGGCGAGAGTTTTAAGGGCAATAGTGAGGCTGGTGGACCGTTTTTTAACTCCCCCTTCTGAGAGAATGGGGGGAAGTTGTGGTGAAAGTGAGGCCACAGAGTCAAGCCCTTCATTTGCATTGAAACGTTCATTTTTTCCTTCTCTTGTCTTTCTTTTTGGGGATTTTTTTCGCACAGATATATGCTGACAGGACTACGCGCTTTGAATTTTTTTAGGGCGATGGGAGGGGTGGCGGTGCGGGCGAAGGGGTGTGTCTGAATGCTCAACATTGTAGTATCATATTTATAATTTTATGTGAAGCGAGAGTTTCGTTTTATCCTCGTTAGCATGGAGCGTTTATGAGGAAAATTGTTTTTCTTCGGCTGTTGGGTGCAATTAAGACATCGGCAAACTTGACAGTACATGAACTCGAGTTAAATTCAATTATCAACGTGTGTGGAGACTGTGTGCCACAGAGTGGTGTGAATTATCGTTATTTATGAAAATTTATGCTGGTGAGAAGGTGGAGCCTTCGGGGAGGACTGACCAATCGTGGGACATTGCGTGCTGGCTGTAGTTACGGGTATGCCGCTTCGTAAATTGATAAGAGTTTATACATCGGGGTACGCGAGGGGGAGAAACCCTTGGTCGTGGTTGTTGGCAGTAATGGAGGGCTTTTTTCTATGTTTGCCGAACAATTTTGAGTTTCAAGATTTATCAAAATTATTGTCTCGGCCAGACGCATAAATAATTTCTCAATCCTCTTTTCTATATCAGGGATCTATTTCGCTGAGTTATTATGAAGACTTGTAATTTTTGGAGGTGAATAATCGTTTGAATAGCTTTGTCCTGATGAGGATTCCTGATCTAGCGGCAAAACGTCAACGAAGTCTCTTTCAAGGATTTTGATTTAATTATTGCCAATTATAAGCTCCACAAATATGAGAAGGAATTAATATATGATGATGTATCAGATGATGAATTCAGTCTGTGCAGTACTTGGATGGGTGTCCGCTTAGGCACACCTAACCGCGTAGGACTACCGTCGCTATGTACGAATGTAGAGAACCACTGTGCCCATTGAGTCAGTGTGACCAATGGACAACGTGGAATCCCTGCATTATCGGCCGGCTGCACGACTGAGGTTTTCCATGGTCTCCCTGGCAGTCCAATCCCGAATGGGGTGCAGTTGGGGATTAAGTAAGTCGGCCCATGGTAACGCAGATAGGGAAGGGAACAAAATGTAAAAACCCGGGAGGGTATACATATGGAACCAAAAATAGAAAAAAATATATGATGATGTTACTGTATGTGACTGCACATTCGTAAAATTTTTCAGAAAAATGACGATTTGGTCAATGAAAATGCTGATTTTCGCTGCAATATTTGCACGGAGCGAAATGTGGTTGTAGGAATTTTTACGGAACTGTCACGGAATTTTTCCAGAACGTTCCGTAATTCTTATCTGAATCTCCTGTGAAAAAGTACAGTACCGTCACTTAAATTTTCTGAGTCGATTCCGTAATCAGTGAGCGAATTGTGAGTTCCGTCTTATTTCTGCCTGAAATTTATAAATTCGTAAGTTTCTTTCATTGAATAGAATTCAATGTTATTCTTCTGAAAATTACTACCACATTGATCGGAAAATTCCTATTTTCTTTCAGCAGTGAATTATAAAAATTGAATCAACATTTCATGATGATAAAAATCTTGGCTTATATTTCACCATGTAAAGGGGTAAAAAAAAGTACATTTCAGGTACATCATTTTTTACCTGAAAAGCGTTCCAAATTATGAAAATTCAGTTGAGCATCTTCTGGACTTATGAAACAAATAAAAATTCAAGTGCTTTTTTCTATTTCACATTTCCTTTGAAATTCAAAAGAATTTCATCATTGAAAAATTCCTCATCCCATGAATTTTCTGATCAAAATATGTGAAAGCGAATGACCGACGGCGGTGGCTGTGTGGTTAGAGTGTGGGATTGGCATGCGGGAGACCCGGGTTCGATTCCCTGCTGGGGAGGGCCAAAATTTGTGACACTCTAAATCTTACAGTTTCATTATCGAGCGCAAGTTTCGCAAGAGACGACTGTACCTGGGCAGGTTTTTTCCTCAACTGAGGTTTTCCCTTGTTCTTCGGCGAATGCGGTACAGGGGGTTGGGGGGTGGGAAAGGGTATACGAGAAGAAAAAATTTAAATTGATGTGAAAGCGAATGAAAAATATTGATTTCAGTACAAGCATTCAGTGGAAACTCAGAAAATTGGAAAATTGAGGTGAATATATACATGAATTTAGAATCAATTAAGAATTCCCCTCATTTTACATTAAATAAATTCATAAGCTTCTTCCTTGAATAGAATTCATTGATACTCCCCTGAAAATCACTACCACATTGGGCATGAAATTTCAATCTTCTTCCATCAGTAAATAATAGAAATTGAGTCAACGATTTCTAACGAAATGAAATAATAATTACACATAATAATTATTCCTTACCTGCCATTAACATAGTATAATACTCTTCTCTCCATCACTGCTCTGGGATTGCCTCAGGTAAATGAAAAACCCACATATACGCATCTTACAATAACAACTATTTATTCATACGTAGTAATGCTGAATTACATGAATACACTTCTAGCCTCGATATTGTAGATTGTTATAATTCCGATTGTATCAATGGCATAGAGTTACCTTCATAAATATTTCTCACCTAGACACATGAAAAACATAATTAAATCACTCAATAAAATTGACTGTAACTCCATTTAAACATCAGACTAAAATTGCCATTGACAGTGGAAAAATTTACTCTGATCGATGGTAAAAGATACAAATTTTTGTCTCACGAAATCGGTGGTTAAACGCTTGTGTTTTCCATTTGTTTATTTATTCTCTCGGCTCTACATTGAACTTCATTAATTAGACTTAGTTTTTCTACCTAGTCTCTACGATTACGTGAACTTTACAACACAAGGATCTTAACGGTAAAAGACTTTGTACATGAATCATTAAATACGTCACGTCCAAAAGGGAAAGACTTTTTCATTATTATCTCTTTAAATTAATTTTCACATTTAATTTTCACGGTTAATCTCCCTTGTCAGTCTTACAACCAATCAATTCATCTCTAGTTACTGTCCACCCGAAACAAAAAAAAGTATTTCTCTTTAATCGTGCGTATTGTGTAACGCGGGATACACGCATATTGGATTAAATTCAATTGTTTTCGGTAATAGCTAAGTTTATTTATATAAATAGAGGTTGTTAGATTCAAGAGGCTACAGGGTTCTCATTTTTTCTTGCTACGTATGATACAGTGGGCTCACTGGGCTTATTTTTCATCATCAAAGCTCTTTCCCACTTTCTTCTCCATCTCTTCGACAACAAAAAATTTATTGACTGATTACATTTGGCCGAAATAAATAATGAACACAAGAAAACACGATTACTTCGCGTCTTGTTGAATTTTCAATTATAAAATAAAAAATAATTCTCGTATTTGTATCACAAAAACAATTCAATAATTCCATCGAATCGTCGATTGTTCATTTATAATTGTGCGGGCATGCGAAAAATCGTCTCTATTCACTGGTTTTACGAAACCAAAAAATCATACTCAAGTTTTGTTTGTTTTTTTATTATTTAAATTCAGTCGATTTCTCGCACTCCATGCACGATTGTTCAGATTTTGCTGACGATTTCAACCGCTCGTTTCTCGTAAACTTTGATGACTGCAGTGAATGATGAAATTAAAAAGGGCGCAATGTTGTTGATGATCTCAAATGTATTTTTGTTAGAGGAACGAGGATCGAGTTCGAGTCTGCACATTTTGGACTTAAAAATTATCTACTCGCATCGATACAGGTTTAATTATTTATACGTTAATTTCTATAGGAACGCATGCACTCGCGCAAGCACTCTCAAGCAGTCTTTATAAATTATATATCTCTTTTTTTCATCTCTCTCTTTTCTTATACGTGCAAATTTTCTCATTTCGCTCGATATCTTTCGCCCCAACCCCTCAAACGACGCGAAGATCCTCGCACTCCGCCGGATTCCCTTCATTTTGGACTATTTCTCATTTCTTGCGAAGAAGTTGGTGGAGGTTTGGAGGAATATGGCGTCGTTGATATGTTCTCACCTCGACAGAAATTATCAACCGTAAACCAAACGGAATCCGGAGTCCACTCGACGACTGGGTTTCTCTCCGTTTATTTAATTTAATTTACTCATTTGTAGGAAACCAGCACGTTCACAGGTGCGTTTCACGCTGTCTCCCTGGACGTGCATAGCTCACTCCTCGCTCAGACTGTTCTCTCGTTGGAGACACTGTTTTCCACGCGCCGAACGCTCCTTCGGACCCTCCAGAACTGCAACTCCGTGAGGTTAACAATGTTTTTGTTGATTTTTTTGTGGCTTTCTACGGCGGACCTTAGGGCCGCGCGTCCTCCGGACGCCTCTTCTAGGTTGCACTTGTGAAGAGTACAGAATTCTTGTAATAACCCGTTCGGGATTCTGAAACAGAACAAGAGAGGAAAACAATGAAAAATCAGTTGGAAGGATATTTGATCGTTGAGCAGAAAAAATAGTTGCGCCGATTGAAAGCCGATGCATGTGATGCACGGCGTTTCATTTTGGTGAGTTATTACATGAGACAATTGTTTTATTGTTAATTTAAGCAATTTTTTAAAAAGGGATGGCGTTGACAGAGCAGGCGACACATACTGAATGAAAACAATTTCATTTTCACCTTAAAACCTACTGCAGAAGAATATTTTTCATTTTAAAAATAATGTCCTTAACATTATTAATATAAATATTTTTAATATTTATATTCGTTATCATTTCAGTAGTGAAGTGGTCAGTCGGTTTAAGTCGACTTAGCTCAGTTGAGTTTTTGTTGAATAACTCGCAATTTAAGAAAGATTGCAAAATTTTTATAAGACCGTTTTCGATAGTCTTCACGTTTCTTCACAAAAAAGATTTCTAGGAAAATTTTTCCAACTCTTTTAGAATTTGAGATATTCATCGAGAACTGCCGCTAGAATGGAATTGACTTGAACCGTTTGACCATTTCACTACTGATTTATGTATTCTTAATATCTGTGAAGAAATATTTTGAATTTACAGAACAATACTCGTAACTAACGAATTATTCTCCGAATTATTGCCGTTATTGCTTCGTTAATGCTTTCAGAGGGTAAAATGTTCAATGGGTGTATATAAAAATTTTTCAATTCTCAATTTCATTAATTTTTTGTGAGTGATGCCAAAAATATGAAAGTAAATGAAAAAAAAATGCTTTGCATTTTAAAACCTACTGCAACACAATATTTTCAGCTGTATAAATAATATGATTGATGTTCTGAATACCAATATTTCCAGTATTAATATTCATTACTAACCATAACTTATTCATGATATCTTTGAAGCATTTTCGCCGCCTATAATTCCTTAAGGTGTATTCTTAGAAAACAGATTTTTTTACGAACGCCCCCATGTTTTTCATAGATAATGTTTATAATATTCCCTCGCTACTAAAGAAATTCTAACCAGCTGTACTGCACAGTTCAGGAAATAATAAATAATAAAATGTGGGCTTCTGCACGCGAGGCATAGGTCGAACGGGGGTCATGGGTCCCCTGAACTCGATTTTTCCATCTTACGAGAAAACTGCTATTACGATGTTCTTAAAAAATGCATCCATGGTAGATTGATAAATTCCGAATACGGCAAATTTTATAGTACATAGTTTCAGTGATATTCAACTCTAAAAAATGACAATTTCGGTAAATAATTTATTGTTTAATTCAGACAATTAACGAATAATTTGTTATTTGATTCAAACAGTTAAAGTGTTAGAAAATTACTCTTGAAATTTCAAGTGAAAAAGGTTGAAATTTTTAACAACGACAAAGTTACATGATATTTCTGTATATTTATTCATTGACGCATCAGTTAATTTCTTGAATATTCAAGTAATTCTCAATTTTCAGGTCCATACGGCACCTTGAGAAACCTTGAAAAATTTGAAAATACAGGCAACAACATTTCTTAATTCTCAATCTATTGAAAATTGAACTGTATGTGATGTTCAATTTTCAAGATGAGTGCGAAATTTAGTGAACGTTTCCATTTGAAATTGGATTCACCTTCCCAACATTGAAAATTCAGATGGCGCTGAGACTGAAATTTCAGAAAAATTCGAACAGTGTATGGCTCGAATTTTCATCAACAATATATGAGGCTAGAAAAGCTCAATAACTCATGAGAATGCAATAAATTAATTCCTTTAGAATTTTTTCCGGAAATCCATAGGGACTAACTTTTGGGTGGTATTGTGTTGGGAAACACCTTAATCCCTTCAGGATATAAAATATTCCATGGGTGAGTATAAAAATCATTCTATCCCCAATTTCAATAATTTTCTGTAAGTAATGTCGTTGGGACACTACGCAAAATTAATACTAAATAAAAAAAAATTATTTCGCATCTTAATACTTATTGCAAAACAATATTTTCAATTAAAAAAATAATATGATTAATATTGGAAATATTGTTATTAACCCAATATTTCCAGTATTAATATTCATTATCCTTCATTTATCCATAATATCCTCCAGAAAATATTTTCAACATGCAGAACAATAGCCGTAACTAACGAAGCGCTTTCGCCGTCTACAACAATTCGTTGATCCCTTCAAAATGTAAAATATTCAATGGGTGTATCCGCAATATGGTTTGAGTGATGAAGATGAGCAGGGCAATCGAGGTAAGACACCACAGGTCACCACCCCCTCTCCCCTGAGCCCGCTCACTAATTATCATTCCAAAAGCTGTGCGCGTAAGACAGGAACGTGCACCCCCCCCCC